CAATCTGCTCATAGCACTTTCCTGCTTAAAACCCTTTGGTGGCTGCCCTCACACATAGGATAAAGATCAGACTCTTTAACAGCACCTGCAAGGCTGACCACCTCGCCAGCTTGTGGGCTCTCATACCAGGTTCTCTGATTTCCCAGCCAATGGACATTCCTTCAGTTGCTCACGCTTACCTTTCTTCCTCTAGCTCCAGGGTCTCTGCATATGTTTTTACTTCCTCAATTCAAAAGCCATTTCCTCACGGAAGCTGTCCCTGACACCCACAAGACAACACATCTCCCCCTCCAGTTTATTCATGCTCACAGCACCATATACCTTTCCTTCACAGCCCTTATTATGTTTGTAATTATGTATTTGTTTTTATAATTATTTGTATAATGCTTGCTTTCCCCACCAGTCTAAAAACTCCCTTAATACAGTAACTGTTTCATTCATCATTCTATATCCCTAGTGCCTACAACAGTACCTGACATGTAACGGACATTTAATAAATATTGCACAAGTGAATTCCATCTGCAATAGATGCTAATGAGAGTCTCTATTATTTGGATGTCTTTATTTATTTAAGCCTAACCAAGCCAAAATTCTGATGAACTGAATTCTAGAGAAAGGGGATATTAGATTGGATATTCCTCTTCAGATAAAAGGATGATAAATTAGCCCAAATTTACCCACGCACTTGTTACTGTATGTCCACATAAATTGCTTGGAATTAATCACATTTTCTCCAAAATAACCGAAAGCAATTCAATACTCGTCCTTAAATGATTTCGGGCTTTTGTTTTGCAAATAACACACTTGATTTTTCCAAGTGGAGAAATAGTCTAGATATTTAAAACTCTTCAAACTTGTGGGGGAGGGGGGGTAATTAGAGATAAAAAGCAAGGAAAGACACAGTATTTTAGTTTGTAAAATAGGTTTATTTACAATTTGGTATTTTGAAATTGTATTTGAAGTTGTTATGTATTTCCCTGGCAAGCATTCTATATTTTTTTTAAATACGGAGGTAAAGGATAGGAAACCTGAACAAGTTTGAATTTAATGAGATTTACCTGCTACTGCCATCAATAAAATTTAACCTTTAATCCCTGAGAATTAGTAAGAAGGGTTAAAAATAGTTATTTCCATGGATTCAAATGTAAAAAGCTTTAGGAACAAAAAAATAAAGAATAAAGCTACTATAATTAACCTCCCCACATATGGTAATATGAGAAGTCCTCTTTCACAAATTGAGGGGCATGTGCGTGTGTGCGTGCGTTTAAAGTTACTGGGTACGCCTAAATAGAATAAAATGCCCTAGTTCTCAGCTTCTTTCTAGTTTCTCCCCCTTTAAGAAATATTCCTGGAAGCTGATACGTAATTCATTCAGATAGAAATGTCCACTGCGAGCTCAAATTCCACCCCCCCCCTTTTTGCATGTGATGTAGTTAAGGACTTCTTTTCACTGTCCGAAACCGAAATTCTGAATCTGATTGCAACCTGAGCCCCACTGTTTTTACAAAGTCACTTGCAGCAAGTCACTTCAGTTTCCTCAAATATCAAATGAGGATAGTTATAGCTTATAGGGATGTATAAGACTGAGCTGCTGTTCATAAAACACCATGAGATCTAGGAAGGAGCTTTCTTTGCAAGCTGCAATCATCTGTGGAACATATGCTACATTTATAATATACCCTGCTGTTCCTTAGTAAGGGGCCCTGGTGGTGCAGTGGTTAAGCGTTTGGCTGCTAACCAAAAGGTAGGTAGTTTGAATCCACCAGCTGCTCCTTGGAAACCCTACGGGGCTGTTCTACTCTGTCCTATAGGGTAGCTATGAGTGGGAATTGACTCAACAGCAACAGGGGTTTCCTCAGTATAGATGACCAGTTAATACTTAAAATGTCAGCTTTCTTCAGAGGAGTTCATATTAACTCATTAATTTGTACATTGAACTTTTTTGAAATGCAAGAGAATGCCAATTATGCCCCCTCCCATTTATCTTTATCTGTCTGAATTGTAGCACAGATAATGAGAACATAACAAATCTAAGGTAAACAAAAAAAAAAAAGACTTCAGTAAGATGTAACTTTCTGATGTGTGCAAAACACTAGCAGTCACTTTTGAATGTGAACTGTGTTAAATATCACCAAAGACAGTGCTTATTGCCTAATGGCCCAAAGGAAAATGCACTGCAATCAAACTTTTTTAAAACAGTGAAACAAAGCCACACAGGTACTTTTCAAATCTTACTGCTTTCTTCCCCAAACAGAAAGTACTCAAACCAATATCCCCCCTTCAAAAAACCAATACCAGTGTCAGCTAGGAACATTCTTCATGCTAGTTTGAAGGCAACTTTGAAGTTCCAAGAACATTTATTTGTATAGTTGTTGATTCCAAAAGGGAGATTATTAGAGACGCTAACAGAATATAGCATTAACCAATTTAATAAGGAGCTTTTAAAGATTTGTTAAAAGGAAAGCAGATGCGTGGGAAGTATAATCTGCTCAAAGTAAATCAGATTGGGACAATAAATTTTCATTTTAAACTGCTGCTTTAGAACCAACTTTCAGTTTTGTACATAACATACATCTCTTAAAAATTTACTTCTAAATATATTGGGTTTTTTGGTTGGTTTGCACTAGTTGAGAACTTAGAGAAGCAAAGTGATCAAGCAATAAATGGGAAACTATGGCACAGGCTATGATACGACAGAGGCTAGGCTTGGGAACCCTTATATCATCCCCTTGCAAATTCAACTTGTGCTTCAGGAAGCCACACTAGTAAGTAATTCCTTGGCTGCTGGTAGCAGTAGGGGTGTAAATAAAAATGTGAGGTAGTTATTTCCACCGAGGGAAATATTTGTCTATATAATATCCCTGCAATGTCTAACAAATTCCTAGAGCATCTGCTTGCTGTCATCTGTAAATAAACTCTTAGCTTGGTATTAACGGAGCTTGGCCAATCATGAGCTAGATGCAGTTCACAGACCTTATTTTCTGACCCAGCATGACAAGAAGAGACACTGAAACCCAAAAAATGTGAACCATAGAGTTCATCAAGTGAAAAAACTGCAAAACCATAAGCATTTAAAAGCATGTGGTGGAACTCGTGAGAGCACAAAAGAATAATCTGCCAGTACTTACACAGAGGAAAGAATCTGAAAGATTGGTGAGGGATAATTCATAGGCTCTGCTTCCACAGCTTAACTGTCACCTTGAAAGTTTAAAAAAAAAAAAAAAAATTGACGTCCTTCCATGATAGAGAACATGTTAGAGGCTACATAAAGGGGCATTAATATTAAAATATTAAAGGTAAACGAAATATCCTGATAAGTAAGAATTTCCTACTAAAACTTTAGTCTTTCTTGGCATTTGCATATTTATATCAAACTAATAAAAATCAATTACTGCTAATGAACAGACTAGTAGAATGAATTATTTTAACGTCTCAGGATACTGACGGAGAACTATCTATTTGGCATTCTCATTACTCTTTAGGTTAACAGACCAACAATACCAGAAAGAGAGCAGGAGTTATAGTTAGAAAAGGGGAGAAAAGTAAGGTAGGACATTAAAATTTTATTCTGAAATTATCTCTGGCCACAACAATAAAATTTAACAAATATTCACTAAACAGTCTTACTCCTGTCATCAGCTGTACAATACATACAGTATCATAGAACTGGCCACTAGGATTAAAATCCACTAGAACATGTTTAATGTTAAGTGGTGACAGCAGCATCTCACAGAAATTTTTACATACATATATACACAGTCCACATTCAACCATTTTCACATATTTTCAGTACACAGTTGCAGCATATTACAGTCACGTGTCTAAGTTGTTGCTCGATAAAAACCCAAGCCACTACCTAGACATAACTGTAGCAGTTGAGCTGAGTATGATTACAATTAACTTTATATATGTTCATAGCAGAGATGTACAAGCCCCTAAGAAACAGAGTTCGCAAATACCTTTTTTTTTTTTTAAATGCTACCACAGCATTATGTTGGGCAATATTAAAAACTTTACCAACCAAATCAATTATTTTTTAAAAAGTCTTCTGCTTACCAGAAATATTCTTGATGAAAAAAAATTACAAAAACGCTGTCTTTAAAATAATTCACACTTTTAAGATTCCAATATGGCCCAAAGCTACTGATGCCTGAAGTGTTTTTCTAACATTCCGATGGAGTCATTTAGCATGACTCCAAACCACCCAGTAAGTTTAAAAGTGGCTTAAGTGCCTTGCACCCAAATTGTAAAAATCCCTGGCCATCCTTACTAGAGCCAGGCACATAGAAAAGAAATGCACTTTGGTTCATACCAAATGCCCTGGGATTAATCGCACTATAAAATTAAATGGTTTGAGGTAAATTTTTACAAATAGAGTTGATTTCTGTCTAGTTAGCCTAACAAAAAAATATCATTTAAAAAATCAGTCGGATGTTAACATACACAAAGACATCTTTAACCCCTTACACACAGGAATTCCCTGTGTAACTGGCCAATGGTTACCTTTCTCAGTGCCTGATGATGACGCACGCCTTATGGTTTCTATTAAGGCCTGTAAGTAACTGGATATTTAAGACAGATGTATCTTTGCAGAGATGGGTTCCATCCTTACTGCCTATTACTCAAAGGGTTAAAGAGGCCAAAAAATGCAGGCCCTACAACGTGGCATTCAGAACAAAAGGCACATTATTAACACGAAGGGCACAGTTTCTCCTCTACTGATAATCTACGCTGTCTTGCGTCACTCTGTTGTTCCGCTGCTGTAGCAGTACACTTACGTGGTCATGAACACCCAGGTGGTGCCAGAAATGGAGCCAAATGAGACAGCAACCAAAGACAAGACGACACTGTGCTATTCCTAAATCTGAAAACAGCGCAGATATCCCCAGACAATGGTAACCTGTGAGACCAAGGACTGTTTCCAAGCCAACTCCTAGTAGCCTATCAGAGCCCTTCATTTGTTTTAAAATCATAGATATGCAACTTTTTTCTTTTTTAACATTAAACTATATATATATATATATTTTTTTTTTTTAATGAAGCAGCTCTATCACTAAATGCTGAAACGTGGTGGCTCTTGTGAAGAATAAAGGAAATTTCACTGTATTTGGGCAAAAGAAAAGCCCCATACTGCTGCACATTACAGTTTGGCCTAGAAGTTTCTAGCTGCATTTGTGAATGGAGACAGCCACAAATGCATTGTTGGCATCTTAAGAACCAATGTTGTGTGGTGGGGAAAAAAGACAAGCAGTATTAATTAGCCCATATGCAAGTTTTCACACGTATAATCATTTTATAGAGAAATTAACAAAAACGGCAGGCTTAGGTTCATATATTTTAACCTAAATGGGAAAATGAGAGTTGAAATGAAAGAGGAGCACTGGAAGGGGAAATTAGTCTTCGTATGTTTTTAATTGTTTCAATGATCTAAAGACGTTAACCATCATTAAGAGGCTGGTGGTTTTTACAAAGCCACCATACCGTCTGACATGTCTTATGCCATTAAGCCAAAAATTTAATAATAAATACACAGATATTTAAATTCTATAAGCCACTGATTGGGGGTATCATCACATGAGCATCATTTAAAATGCAACTTACTAACATTATTGCACTTCCACAGATTACATATATATGTGTATAATATGCTAAAGAATTCATTTTGACTAGGGGAAAGAAGATATAATTTTTAAATACAGAAGAAGTACAAATTAATTTATCTGTGACATCCTTAAATAGTAAAGCAAATATCAACATCACTATCTTACTAATAAGCTAATCTTATTACTGTTTTTGGCAAATATCTGTAATATTTCCTGAGCATTTTTCTCCACCATCTACCGACAAAGCCTCACAATATGTCAAGTGTTTTGTTCAAAACCACTTTTTTTTTTAAAGGAAAACAGTGGGATTAACATTAAAAGAACTTAACCGGAAACTTTCTTGGCCTCACTGGGGACCATGCTTTAAGTACTTATAAATCAATCTACGGGCAATACAATAATATCTGTGCATAAAAAAGATTATTTATCCTATCTTACACCACCCCAAACCTATTGTCCAAAACAGGCAGATACCCTTCTATATTAAATTGCACATACTAAAAGAAAATTTCCACGTGCCTTGAAACTGATATATATCACTGTTCATACATTAGTGATAAAATACTGAAATTTTCACTGTGAAAATAATTATTTTTCAAAGAAGAAAATATTCTTTTACCTAACTCTCAAAGTCACTTTAACAGGTAAAGTGTCATCTCCACAAAAACAATCAGTGCAATCCAAAAGAAATTAAAATAGAGGAATGCAATTTCTGTGGTTCTTCTGAAGATGTAAAGAATAAGTCAAACCATTTAACTTGAGGTTGAACTTTCCCTCTTTTAAAAGTGTTGTTAAAATAGGACTTATTGAACAGCCATAGTGACTTCTGCTAACCAAGAGAATTTATAGTCCTCTCATTAAAGAAAGAGGTGATATGTTCCCAGGCTCTGAGAACCTTACAGTGGCACCTTAATAGCGTGAACTCACTCTAATCTGCTAAACCTTCTTTGTAACTATGGAAATTCCCACCTTAAGTAGCTAGGCTGCTGTATTTTTTAAAACTGGAATATGAAACGATGGTTATAATCACAGGAGAAATGTCTCTTTTCTGTATTAACAGTCTGGGACATATATTTGAAGAAAGAAGACAAACTAAATGCAAGCAACAGATGTGAAGTAAAAGAGGAGCAAAGAGAAGAAAAGCCAAGAAGGGAGAAACAGATCATGGAATACAGTTCTGAATTTAGGTGCAAAAAGAAATTTTGTAATCTGAGGCTTCTTTACAAAGCCGCTCACTGATCATGTTAGACAATCTGGAGGAACACACATATTTCCATTTCCATTCATCACCCAGTCTGCTATTTTAGAATGTCAGAATGCTAACAGGGCAATTTAAACCTTGGGGACTTATGTTTTGCATTCGAACATAATTTAGAAAAAAAAAAAACTCTAAGGTGCAGATTTTCTTAGAATATCATTTTCATATGACCATTCTCCTTCCACCACCACTACCACCCAGATAACGTAGTGAACGTGAAAACAGGATATGCTACACCTGTGCATGCACCTGGCAAATGGAGGGGGGAGCAGGCCTTCATGGGCAATCACCTTGGGGAGAATATTATATGCACCATAAAAACATAGTGAATGTCTCTGACACCAGTCTGTAAATATGTGGCAGTCATGAAGTAATCAATGGCCTGCCACTGATGTTTATTACTCTGCCACACTAAATACAGTAAGGCTCATCGTACTTTTAGAACACACAAAGTTTCAGAAAGTATAAAAACTTAAAGCATTGTCCCCATGTATTTTATAAAAACAAAATGAACAACTTCCTTACATTAAAATAAGTGCTGAAAAGATACAAATAAGTAAAATTATTGAGCAAATAAAAACAGGTCTCAGCTTCTCCTTTTCAACCCAGTAAGGCTCAGCAATATCTTTCAGATTACCAGCATCAGGGGATTGGAGCTCAGCTAACAAGTTTTGGCAACACTGTCCTCTGCTGAATATTCCCATTGGCATCTGTCATTTGTGCCAAATTAGTCCTTAGTTTGGAAGCTGAGCTGGAAGGTGGAGGTAACTTGGAAATAGATGTGATAGCACCAGTGCTCTCGGTTATCCGTTTCACTGCAGTCTTCTCCCCGGTTGGAGGCTTCGGCAGCCGCCTCCTTAACCAGGGATGCCGTAAAGCCTGGCCAGGGGTCATGCGAGCCGTAGGATCCCATTCTAAACACTGTTTTAAGAAGTCAAGGAAAAGGGGATCATCACACCCCTTCAGTGCATTCCCCCACTCTCTGCTCTCAGGTGGGCCCCTCAGTTTCCCCCTCCTAGAACGGCCTCCGTTGAGAACCACGGAGCCATCAGACAGAGTCGTGACTGAGCAGTAACGGGGATAACCCTTGGAGCTCACAAAATTTTTGGCTCGTTTGGATGTATCTAGCAGTTTCTGGGAGGGCATGCCCAACAGTTCAATCATACAGGCCAGCTGGTCCCCTTCATCCTCCCCAGGCAAGAGGGGATAACCTGTCAGGAGCTCTGCTAAAATGCAGCCTAGGCTCCACATATCAATGGGCATTCCGTACCTAGAACCCAGGATCACTTCCGGGGCCCGGTAGAAACGCGACTGAATGTACGTGTAGACGCGCTGATGCTCGTAACAACTGGAGCCAAAATCAATGACTTTAATACCGCTTCTACCCTGCTGCTTTAATAAAATGTTCTCGGGCTTAAGGTCACAGTGAATTATTCTGTTTTTGTGCAACGCATCCAAGCACTGCAGAATCGAGTGGGCAAACTTGCGAACCAAAGGCAGGCTAAAGCCCTGGAATTTATTCTTCTTGATGAGTTCATAGAGGTTCATGCTCAGCAGCTCAAACGTCATGCAGATGTGGTTGCGGAAGGTGAAATTCTCCAGCATGTGGATGACGTTCATGGTGTTGTCCTTATCCTGCTTCCGCAGGTGTTCCAGGATTCGGATCTCCTCCGCTGCCTGCCGGTGGAAGCGTTTCTCATTCCGCACCATCTTGAGGGCCACGTGCTGGTGGACTTTATGGTCGTAGGCCTTGACCACCTGGCCAAAGCTTCCCTTCCCAATGACCTTCAGGACCTCATACCTGTAAGCCACATGATCGTGGGGCACCTGCACATACGATCCTTGGTCATCATCATAGCCGCCATTGTTCGGCCCACCTGTCATGCCTTGGCGTTTCTTTGCATTTGGACCCAGGAAATAAATTTCAGGGTAGCTGAAAATCTCATGGTGTTCAAAGGTGGTTAGTTTTTGCATGTATTGCTTCATTGCTTGTTCAGGCGTCATGGGAGCGGCTTTCACCTTCCCCATGCCTTCCATAGACTTCAGAGAGGTAGAGCTCCCCTGCCGTCTATGAATACTCTCCAGCTGCCGCTCTGGCACCACTGGCAATCCCGTTTTACCCACTGTTGTAAGCCCATTTGGTTGTGTCGTGAGCACTGTCCGTTTGTTACTGTTATCCTCAAACAGCTGCTGAACCTGGATCTGTCCGTGGCTGTGGCTGCTCACGTGCAGGTGATCATTCATTGTGTGCTTACTGCCGCCAATCTGGAATTCAAAAACGAGACATAAATAGAGTGGAAGAAGTCGTGTCTGTTCAAATGGGATATAAGTCAACACCACTCCCTCTTTTACGAAACTCAATTTCGTTTTCATTTATATTCAGAATCAGGTTTACTAAACAGAAAGAGCTGTGCACCCAGGAGGGAGTTCGTGAACACAGAGAGGGAGAGTAGAAGGAGGCTGACAGACTCCAACAAAAAAAAAGGAAAACATGGTTAGTGGGCTAGCTAAGGCTGCCGAACTAGGTAACCTGAAAAAAAGACCCCATAAATGCTACACCTGGTAGACAAGCAGTTTGCTGCATATATTCAGGGTCCTGAGAGTACATTCCCTGTGGAAGCAAAAACTCTATCGTTCTTGTTCCTCTTTGTATATCAACCTTTAGCACGTAGCCTGGCACACCACAGGTGTTCAATTCAATCTGCACTAGACATATAATGGAAGAAGAGAATACATAAAAGAATGTGAGCACATACGACTCTATACTAGCTAACCAAAAACCAAACCTGCTGCTGTCGAGTCGATTCCAACTCATAATGACCCTACAGGACAGAGCAGAACTGCTCCATGGGGTTTCCAAAGAGCAGCTGGTGGCTTCGAACTGCCGACCTTTTGGTTAGCAGCTGAGCTCTTAACCACTGTACCACCAGTGCTTCCTATACTAGCTAACCACCCTCAAATCATACCACCTTTCACACTGCATTTAATAGCCTCTTTACTTATACAGGGCAGGGACCACGCCTATCTGGTTCACTACTCCTTCCTCAGGGTCTAGCTCTGTTCCAAACACTAGTATCTTTATCTCCAATCTTCACCATTACTTGGAAACTCAACCGCTTATACAAAGGAACATACATGAAGTCAGTGACAAAGAAAAAATGCACTTTCAGGCTTGAAAGACTTACACGTAGGTATCTATGGTAGGTATCTATGTAAAGCCCCTAACCTATTCTTAAATGTTTCTGGGCTTTAATGACTGTGATGACCATTTAAGGCCATTCAGCCCAACAAACCAACCAACCAACACACTCTTTTGGGCCTTCCTTTGGTCAATGGCTTGGTATTTCTATGAGCTGCTGGAATACTCAGCTTTCCCAGAAGGAATACAAAGTAGCAATTTCTATTTCAGGCACACATGCCATCCCTGTACATTCCTGTCTAAACAAAACTGATGGTGTAAGCCAACGTGCTCCCAGCCTTCTACTGGGAATCTACTTCGGATTTTTTTCAAGCATTATAATTGCAAAGAGGTGAGGGTGGGAGAGGATTAGCAGCCAGGATCTCCTCCTAGTTAGGAATTCCTGCCAGCCTCAGGCAAGTCTTGCCTGCTCCGTAATTTTAGGAGATCTTAAAGATCAATTTATTGTTCATAATCAACTCTATTCATTTAATCAATATTAGCTGAGGCCTAGCCACATAAGCAACAGGGTTCCTGCCCTCTGGGAGTTTACAATCAACTAAATGAAGTCCTTTGCCATCAGTATTTTTTCCATTATCTCTTGTAAATTCTACCTTTATACGGACTTTATACACTACTAAAGAGTTGTTATTGTTGTTAGCTGCTGGCGAGTCAATTCCAACTCATGGTGACCCTATGTGTGCTATGATCTTTTGAAAAGCAGATCGTCAGGCCTGTCTTCCAAAGCACCTCTGGGTGAATTCTAACCGTCAACCTTTCGGCTAGTAGTCAAGCACTGAAGTGTTCTATATATATAACACAGTGATTCAGGAAATGGTTTGGGATGATCTGGATTATGAAATGAAATTCCAAGTCCTTTTACTAGTAGACCAAGACCTACAAGTTTTCTTTAACAGACACCACAAGCACACTGACTACCTGAGGAGTGAGCTTTCTCTAGGCTGGCTTCTCTAAAGCCTGTCTGAGATGTGATTTCATAGGTTCAGGGATTTCATTTCTCAGATTTTGGAAGACTTCTAGCCAAATCCTTTTATTAAACTCATATGCTACCCATGCTAGGTGATTTTATTTTCTGTAAGTGTAGCCAGACAGGCTATTTTTATCTTCACTCTATACCAAAAGCAGGGCATTCCACAAAAATGAATTAGGAATGACCTGGGCATATATGAAAGCAGTATAGGCCTGTCCTTAGCTTCTCTTTCTAAGCCTCATTCTCTGCACACTTTCCTGCCCACTATGGTCTTTCAAACTCCAGGGAACAAAAGGACCTGGTATTTGAAACATCTCTCTCCTAGAAAACCACTCTCTTCCAAGCAGGATGGAGATATTTCAGAAGAAAAACCTATATTACCAGCATACATGCTATGAAAAGCCTGAGGCTTTATTAGGGACAAAACTAATGCTGGGGCTTTAGGGATTCCTAAGATGACAGCAAAGAAAAACTTCTTGACCATAGAAACTTATTTTAATTTGTGCTATACAAACTTTTATAATTTAAAATATGATCACAAAAGTTTTAGTGACTAGAACTAAAGAGAGTTCTCCAACTGACTGGACCACTTCCTAGCTCTTCAACTGCTTTCTCTTGGTCTTCTTTGCAATATCAACTATTAGTCAACCTACCTTTAGAATCTGGGATTCCTCAGGGTTCAAGCCTCAATTCTCTTGGCTTCTCACTCCCGTAACTCTCTCTGGTTGATCCTGACCACGGCCAGGGCTTCAGCAACCACCCATGAGCTGAAAGCTGCCACGTCCTCACCTCAAGCCGAGACCTGCCAAATCTGTCTCACCAAGCTCAAGATCCATGTGTGCAACTACAGATCAGCTCCCTCCCCCATAAGCCACTCAACTGCAACTCATGATCTCTCTCTCCAAACCATTTCTTCCTCCTATAATTCTCTATTTTTGATAAACAAAAGGCTTCATGGCCACACAATCATTCAAGCTGTACACTTGGAAATCCTCAACCCTGCTTACGTGGAAATCCTCTCAACATTTTCCTCACCTTCCCAAATCATCATCAAGCCTTGTCAATTCTATCTGCCCTACTCCCTCTCCATCAACACTGACTCATCTCTCACACTCCTGTTGCCTTTCACCAGGGCAACAGAAACAGCCTCATGACATGGGTCCTTGCTTCTAAGTCTGAACCACCAATGTCTCCCATGCTTCTAAGTCTACCATTCCTCAAATCTCTTCTCCACAGTGCTTCTACAGTTACTATTCAAAAGTGCCAATCTGATGCTACTCTTGCTTTTGCTCAAATCCCACAGTGGCACCTCATCTCCACAGATAACACAAGAATTTACCAGCAGGGCAAGAATACAAGGTTCAGAAATTTACAGGCTAAATGATCTGAATCCTTCCACTTTCATCCACCACTGTTATTCTTCTCCCTGAGTCTCAAAGCTAGATTCCCCAAGGCCCCATGCTTTTTTATATTCCTCTGCTTTTGGGGAGGCTGGGTTTCTTATAGTTAGGAGCCCAGGGATTTTCAGCTAGACATACATGGACTGAATCCTAGGTCCACCACTTACTACATGACCCTGGGCAATTCATCTCTCTGAACCTCAGTGCCATTATCTGCAAAAAAGAAGGTAACAAAGTTACCTCATTTGGAGGATTAAATAGGGTAATTGCGTGTAAAGTGCTCAGAATAGTACTCGGGTAAATGAAAGTTATTATTATTATTGACCCTTTGCAGATGCTGTTTGGAATCTCTTCCCTTCCCATGTCTAGGTGGTAAACTCCTACCCACCCTTCAATGCTCGGCTCAACTCTCACCTCCCCTGTGAAACCTGCCTTGATCTGATGAACAGCTCCTTCCGCTGTACTTCAAAGCACAGCTACATTACAGCACTTATTTCACTATACTATAATTGTTTTGATATCTGATGCATCCCACTTGGCTGTGAACAATTCCACTGCACGGTTACCTCTTATCTTTGTAACTTCCTCTTAACGGAAACCCAGGCATTCAGTAAGCCCTCAATAAATATCTACTGAATGTAAGAATGCATGTCAATAAATCCCTGTTAACTCTCATCTCTCTCTGAGTTACTCTTGAGAACTGCATTTTGTTCCTTAATGAGAAAACACAAAATCAATACCCAGGGAATTAGGAAGCATCTCTGGTGACCCCAGTCACAAGATCTTAGACTTACAGTGCATCAACAGGTACTGTGAGGCAAATGATAGCTAATTAAAAAGTACCTAGAGCAGTTATATCAACTAAACATCTAAAAGCAATGTGTGGAATCTTAAAAACTTTCCAGATATTAGAGATTTATTTCAGAGGCTTTGAGTCTCAAACACTGTAGGACTCTAAAATCACAACCAAACTTGGAAGCCCAATTAATCAGTCCACAAAAAGAAGGGGAAAAAACAAAAAAAAAACTAGAAAAGCCAGAATATTTCCAGACTATATATATGCCAAGACTACATCATCCACTTAAGGATATTAAAAACCTCTAACCTCTTGAAAAAGGAGCTCTGGTGGCACAGTGGCTAAAGCGATCGACTGCTAACCAAAAGGTAGGCAGTTCAAAAACACAGCAGCTCCTCGGGAGAAAGATGTAGCAATCTGCTTCCACAGAGATTTACAGCCTTGGAAACGCTATGGGTTTGCTATGAGTCGAAATCAACTCGACGGCAGTGGGTGGTGGTAGAATCTCTTCAAGTCTGAGATTGTGATTTATTTTTATTTGCCAATGACTAGCACAGTGCCTGTCAAGTTTAAAAGCTGATACTGAATGAATACAATTGTTAGATACCTACAACTTATGGGTAAAACGGAGAGACCTACCAGGGCCTTGTCTCATCATAAAATATTTTAGTATTAAAAATTATGAGAGAACAACAGTCTAATCAGTTTTGTAGTTTTCATCTCTTTCAATAATAAAATGGCAAGCAAGCAGATATTTCACTGTGCTAACATTTCTGGGCATTTTAAGCTTCTCTGAAGTTCTCTTAGAAATGCTGTCTAGTGTTACGGGACCAGAACTGAAGCCAAGAAGATTGGAATTTTAGCTCCTCCTCAAACAAACTGACAGTCTGTGTGGCCTACTTTTTCTTCTTCAAAACACTACTATTTGTGAAGTGGGAATATGAATTCTTTAACTCCAATTATTCTATAAAGATAAAACTGGTAACTGGAGAGTACTTTAAACATTAAAGTTATAAATACGATAAATATTCACATTTGGAAATTTAAAGAGAAATATATTAATATCTCCAATATATCATAAAGAAAAAACTAATGGGAATCAAAAAAGTATTAGATATACTCTTAGGACAAACAGAGGTAAAACAAAATGACTAAAGTGTAAAATATCCACGGAGTTAGAAAACAATGGACTAGATAAATTCTAAACTCGTAATCTTTATAATCATATATTTATCCTCCTATAGTTGCGCTGGAGCCCTGGTGGTGCAGTGGTTAAGAGCTTAGCTGCTAACCAAAAGGTCGGCAGTTTGAATCCACCAGTCGCTCCTTGGAAACCCTATGGGGCAGCTCCACTCTGTCCTATAGGGTTGCTATGAGTCGGAATTGACTTGACAGTAATGGATTATTACAGTAGCATTTACAAGGGACAATATGGGTAAGCTCTTATGACAAGGTCATTTTCCTCTCCTAAATGCCTTTTTTTCCCATTCATTTTAAAATACCTCCTCCCAGGTGTATGCTCTGGAATTAAAACCTAACAACTTATAGAAACCTGACAGACGTATAGGAATACGGATCTGCAAAGCTTTTTGTATGTATAATGAAGCCAGTGAAATTTCTTAGAATTAGCAGGGTCAAGAAGTATATTAACAAGGGCCTGGGTTTTAGCACTGGCCTTGATATGAACGGACTAGGCAATCTTTACCAAACCAGTTAATTTGTCTGAGTTTGTTTCCTCAACTGTAAAATGAAAGAATGGAGCCAGATAAACTCTGTGGTCCTTTTAAAACTTTCCTATTCTATGAAATCTATGATGTTAAACAAATAAAATCAAAACTAAACAACAATCAAAACACAAATTCTCACTTTCAGAATCAAGCATCTAATGATTAACAGCACACTGAAGTTCACACTTAAGCTAAAAACAGGTAAATCAGGCAGCTGGCACATCAAAATACAGACACCCATCATTACGAGTTCTGAGCAGCACACCCACATCTTTTCATTTTGGGTACACCACAGGCTCTTCTCCCAGTGTAGACTTTCTCTAAATTCAGTGTGTATTTTAATTGCAAAGAGTCTCGGATCAAGCAAAGCCCAACTTTATAAAACTAGAATCCAGACGCAAACCAAATATTTCTTTCCCTGTTCACACCAAGTTATGTGATTACAACACCACATGGAACAAGTTGGATGTTATATTTTCCAAATTCTCAGATGTTTTGAAACCAAACAAAAAAATACAAACCTCTAAAACCAATGCAGCTCCTCAACTGAAACATCACTGTGACAAGAACATTCAACCATAACACACAGAATCACCTATGGTGCTAACATGACTCTGTCAACATCCAGTACAGATTAGTCAACTTCTGTGTAGTGAACTCCTAGCCCCTGGGACTAAATGTGTCAGGAGAACAGCAGCAACAACACAAAAAAAAAAAACAGAACAAGAAAACGTTTTCCTGTGAAACTTGTACATCCTTCTCCCGGTCTAACAAGCCTAAATCCACTCTTGTCATCCTCTCACAAATTCTCCTCTGATAAACAGTTTCCCCATAACACATGACCCTCAGAGATACCCCCTTGTGGGTTAAAAATGGTCTTTTCAACTTTCCCTTGGCAAAGCAGCCCTAGCAAGCATCCCTGATACAGAACATCTTAGGCAGTTCCTCTGGAAGATCCAGTTGGAAAAAGACCTCTGAAACCATCACCTCCTTCAAGTGCACACCTCCTCTCAGCTGGCAGTCACCATCCAAGGGCAGTCCCTGGGAGCTGAGAGAAGGTACAGGCTGAAGTCAAATTCAGTTTGCCAATCTCTACAGCCACCAGTTCCACGCGGGGCTCTCCCTTACCTCTGGCCCCTGAGGGAACCGCAGCATCTATCAAGTGCCTTCCCTTCCCATCTCCGAAGCAAAGCTGGCCCTTTCCTTTAGAATAATGTCCAACTGCAGAATCCTAAAGGGGTGGTTTGTTTTGACTGCTGCTGCTACTCTTATTTTCGTTACTGTTAATTACAATTTCTGCTGTGCTCAAACCTGTAGCACTCATAAAACATGCTTACACACGCGGGAGACACTTGGCGGTGCTCCCTGCTGGCTGGAGCCAGGCGTGGGAGGCTCTTTGGGGGATTGATTTTCTGGGCAGGACGGCCGGCTGTCCCCTAACACATATCTGTTTCTATAAATACCCACTACCCACAAGGCGGTAGGGATGTTTACCCGGTCAGGGAAGGGAGCTCTGGGAAGCAAGAAGGAAAGAAGAGGAAAGAACGAAGGAAAGCCGCAAGGAGGAAGTTCCGAGGAAGAGGAGGGCAGCGGTGGGCGGGCTCGGGAGGGGAAGTGAGGGGCCCACGCCACGAATCTTCCTTTGTGGCTGCAGCTTTGGGCTCGCCCAAGTTACAGAGGGCGGCGTCGAGAAGAGGCCCCAGGCCAGGGGCAAGGAGCCGCTCTCACTTCAACCTCTCTTCTCACGGAGTCAGAACCCCACAAGTCCGGGGCAGCGGGTGGGGGGAGGGGGCGGTTTTGCCCCGGGCCCCCTCCCGACCTTCCGGTGCCCGCGGGCTGGGTCTTACCGTGTGGACTGCGGCGGCAGCGTTGCTGGCCCGGAGAGGCGGCAGGGCGATGGGGGAGGGCGGGCCGGTCCCCACTCCGCTCCGGGGGGCCCCTGCACCAAGCCCCGGGGAAGCCTGAAGCTGACGAACGGCGATGTCCCCTCCTCGGCCTGGGACCACGCGCGGGAGGAGACAAAAGAGGGTCAGGGGGGAGAAAGTCACCCGGACCCCGTCGCCCCGCCCCACCCCTCTGGGTAGTAAACCCCCCTCCCCTTGGGGGAGAGAAGGAGAAAGTAAAAACGGGCAGAGGCGGGGGAACGGAGGTCCGGGACGCGGATCCCCAGCGTGCACCCACGGGCGGAGCCCAGACAGCTGCAAAGTTAAGTCCGGTCCTTGCACGCGAGTTCGCGACCCCATGGAAAAGCCGAGCTCAGCTGGGACTTCGCGGCCCACGTAGCAGGCGGCAGCTGGCCGAGAGGGAGGTTAGCCCCGCCGAGGAGAGTGCAGCTGCCTCCCCAGGCCCCGAGTTGTCCCCTCTCCTAGGCTCCCGGTCGGGTGAGGCCCAGGACGGCCCCAACCAGAGCCCCCGCCGGGCCGGTCCATGGCTCGGCCGAGGCGCTCCCACTCGGAGGAGCCTTCGGCCCCGCGTGCAACAATGAGAGGAACCGAAGCGAGGGCGCGCTGTCCGCCCGGGGGCTTCCCCGCGCCGCCCAGCAGCGACGCAGACTTTGTTCGAGGTCCCGCCGTGCCACGAGGACTAGCCCGAGGCCGTGCTGGGGCCGGCAGGGGCTGGCGCCGGGGGCGGCTCGCCGGCCTGGCCCTCCTTACCAGTCGGGTAGGCGGCAGGAGCGGCGGCCGAAGGTTTCCTGGTTAACATGGCCGCTGGAAAAGAAAATGCATTTCAAGGCTGCCGTCTCCGCCGCCGCTGCTGTTCCTGCTGCTACTTCTCGCGGCCGCCGCCGCCTCCTGGTCGCTCCTCACGCGGGTCTCCGGCGCCTCCTCGCCGCCTCGCGTCAGCTACAGCCAGACACACACAGTCCGCTGCATCCCCAGGGCCCGGGCCCGCAGCAGCGAGCACCCCGCTCTCCTCCTCGCCGCCGCCACCGTCCTCCTCTTCCTCGGGCGGCTGCAGCACCCTCCGGCCCGTGCACATGCCTCGCCCTCCCCTGCGCGCCGCTAGCCTCCCCGATACCCTCACATAGGGGCGCGGGGGGAGCGGCCTGGGCCGCGAGGACAGACTCGCCCGGGAGCTTCTTCCTGGGCTCGCTCGCGCGCCCGCGCGCGCGCCCCTGCGCACGCACACACACACACAAACACACACACTCCGGAGCCAGTGCGCGGCGCGGACCCGGAGGACAGCCCCGCCCTCGCTCCCCTCCACTGTCTCTGCAAGCCCCTCCCCCGGACTCCCCCCACATCCTAGCCTCACACACTCACGTACACCCCACCCCCACGCAACTACCCACAGGAGTCCCTCCTCCCACCAAATCAGCTGTATAACCACCTCTCCACTCCCCGGAAAACTCTGCAGCCTCCGCCTCCCGCTCCGGCCATCTGCACCGCTCCCCTCGGATCCCCTGCTAACAACCTTTTTCCCCACCTCGGCCTTTCCAGTTCCTGCAACCCCCCTCCTTTTCCCTACAGTGCAACCTACCACTGATTCCCTCCTCCTGAAATCGCTGCAGAGACCCCTCTCCTTCAATGCGTGCCCCTAAACACAACTGCATCTTCAGCTTTGGGAACCTAATGGATGCTCACAAACAATACCTCCTCCCCTTTCCAGTACCAGTGACTTAATACCCCCCGCCAATAATTTTTCATGTAGACAACTTAGTTTGGGTAGGTCACCTCTAAGAGTCAAGCCCCCTGGAGGACCGCAGCTTAGCCAGGTGACCCTGAACGTGGGCGAAGGAGGGGACGCCCTCCCACCTCCACCTTTACCGCACACCCTCCCAGATTTACTGACACCAAGTGACCGCTCTCCAGTCGCTATGACAAAGAGGAGGCAGAGCGGCGTGTGTGGAAGGCAGCAAGGGAAGCAGTTGGCTGTGGGTTGCTAGGCAAAAATAAACATCAGAGACACCTCCCATTTCCTTACCTCTCCGAGCCTTTTCCCAGAGCAACCACTGGGAGAGACACGCCTTCCGTTCAGCTCTCTGGCATAAGAGAGAGAGACACCTCTAATTCCTTTCATCCCCAGAGACAAATCTCTTCCTCTTTCCTTCCAAGACACATTGAGAATTTCCCTGCCCTCTTGGTTTGCCATCTACAACCCCTCTTTCCCTTGAAGACGGAAAAAACTCTTGCCTGTCTCACACTCGCGCGCCCATCGTGCATGGCACACGCCTTTGTCCAAAGGTCATAGGTTTTGCCACTTCAACAGTTAGGAGGAAAAAAAAAAAAAAAAAAAGCGGGGCAAATCCCGGATGACGCGACAGAAGGCTTTGCGGTGCACTTCTTCCCTGAGGGGTGCCCTGTTTCAGGAGTTCTTCCGGGGACGTGATATGTCCCCGTTGTATCTGCAGGCCCTTGCGTGAACCAAGTGTACAGGCCCGACGGAGTGCAGGCTCAAATCAAATCGAAAGGGAGCCACGTCCTGCTGGAGTCCCATTGCCCCTGCTGTTTACAAATTGTCATAGCAACCTCCGGTAGAGATCACCCCACCTGTAGCAAGAGTCCAAGCTACATCCCTCACCTTCTGGTTTCTACTAATGCCAAACACTGAGCGTTTCAAGGTTCAGTGTGAGTGACTCTCAGGGTCTCCTGGGCTTCTATGAGGCCTGAGGGGTAGGGGGCATTGCCAGAGAGAATGGGTGGCAGACTAGAGTTTTACCTAGTCATATCCAAAAAGTAAGAAACAACGACAACGAAAAAAATCCGTAGGAGCCTTCTGATAAAACAGTAAGAAGCCCTGGTGGCGAAATGGTTAAGCACGGGCTGCTAAAGGAAAGGTCAGCAATTAGAACCCACTAGCCCGCTCTTTGGGAGAAAAGACCTGGTGACCTGCTCCTGTAAAGATTACAGCCTAGGAAATCCTATGGGGCAGTTCTACTCTGTCGTATAAGGTCCTATGGGCTGGAATTGATTCAGTGGCACACGACAACAATAAAACAGTACCATGGTAAAATAATAGTCCAATAACATGCCCTTAGAAGAATCAAGGCTTGATCTGGCCCCAGCAAGAAATATTCTGCTAAACTTATTATCGGAGACTATCAAATTCAAATCCACTTGGGAAAACATATTCTGTGTTCAGAAGAATGAACTAAAAGAAAAAGGGCTAATTAGTAGTAAAGATGAAACTAGAACCGAAGTTTCCTGATTCCCAGTCTAATTTCATATTTCCATTACACCAGCACAGAGAGCTCACACCCCTTTTCCTTCCTCCCTCTTTTAAAGCGATTATTTTCATACCCTTTTACTTTTTTTAATGAGTACTCCATACAACTGATGTTCAAAAAAAGTTTGAATCAACAAAACTCAATTTCAATATAACTGACACCTCTTTTCACTTAAAATATTTTTACAATATTTTAGTAGAAGCTAAATATGCTACATTTTTTTTCATGACTGAAATGCTAAGTATTGAAAAATGCTGAGTACTGAAAGTCATAGTTTGTGATTGCCAAATTAGTAATAGTAATTTACATGTTAAATATGAGGAAAAAACCCTAATTTTTTTTTTTAATAAAGAGAAACAGAATCATTAACTCTAAGCAAAAAAAGAAAAAGGGAACCTTTCTTAGTGTATTGTTTTATATATGACAACTATCATTTCAATTTTTTTTTGTTTCTTAATTTAAGGAAAATTTTCAATTTACCTAATCCTTAGCTAATTATATATGGCAAACTTTGGAAAATTGTATTAATTCTTACAGACCTCTAAAATAGTATTTACAATTGCTTCCATGTCTCTCATTCTGTTAAATATTGATAGCCTCAAACCTGAATGAAGGTCACATAGATTCACAATTCACTCTTTGGGCTTTTATCAAGAAGGTACAGGGTAAATCTAGGAGTTACTGTTCTCAAACTTTATTACTATAATGCATTACTATCAATTATACGGTACATTCATCTCTTTATAAAATGATTTTGAAAATATTATCATATTTAATCCTCACAATTTAAAATCAGACCAGAGCCATACTGACTTTAATTAAGCAGTAATCTCCACAGGGAGTTCCATTCAGTTAGTAAGAGCGTCTGCTTTTTGCTTCTTGTAAAAACTCTATCTTTGTAAAAAACTCTATCTGTTCTGTATGTTTATAAAATCCAGCTTCAACTAACAAGTAGGAAGGCAGGATGTAGCCGGACTAGAGGGAAAACACTTTTGGGGAACTCAGAATTGAGCCTTGTGGAAGGAAGTTGATTTTCCACTGGGAAAAGTATTGATCACAGAGAAAATTAAAAATGAACAAGAAAATTGCTAGTTTCAAACACATTTACTCATTTAATCCCCTTATCCCAGAAACATTTACAAATGTATGTGCTAGGCCTAGGGGATATGACGAATAATCAGATGTAATGGACTAGGCTTTGGTTTGGCAATCTACTAGGAACTCCTTCTTTTATTCAATTATACAATAAAGATTAAGCACCTAACATAATTTTGACACCATTAGCACCAGGACTATACAGTTAAATAAATAATCCCTACCCCTGGCTCTGGTCATTGTTGTTAAGAAGTTTACAATCCAGCAGAGGAGATAAAACATTTAATGATATGATAGGGGTGAAAAATGAGGCATACAGACACAATGGTGGCACATAGGTGGTTCACAGTGATGATCTCTACTTAAGTGGTGTCTGGCATCAAAGACGCTTGCTTCAGTGGAGGTTTTAAGGATGCTTGGGAGTTTGCCAGTCAGACAAGCTGGGCAAGGGCATTCTAGGGCAAAGAAATAGGAAGTGCAGAGGCACCAAGGATGAGAAAGCATAATGTGTTCCCGGAAGTGTGAACAATTCAGAATAGAGGGAACTTGGGATGGCAGGGAGAAGGGTGGTGCTGTTATCTTCATAGGGTCAGGACTATGAATAGATAAATTCAGGTTAAGAAGTATTCTAAATTTCTCCTGCTGTGCAAATGTGAAAACCAGGTACAGGTCTTTTGAAAGAACTAAGTAGAACAGTGAGTAATGTGGGTCTAGCTCCCTTTAGGAGAACACCATAAACTGATTGACCATTTCCTGGGTCCCTTCCATGGGTCCATCACCAAGGTCCAATACCATCTAAAGAAGATCTTAAGGTCTGAAGTCCATGAAGGTGACTTCCTCAGATGCAGCAGGCATGGACATCATAACTAAATGACTGTAAGGTATCTGCATTTGCCTCTAGAAGGTGGGTCTATGGACATTGCTGGTGTGGAAATCAAGAAGAGACTTCTATACCACTCGAAAGTTGATGATCTAAAGCAGGCTTGTTGTGTTTTGGTCAGGGTACATGCAAAGTCAGTTTCCTTAAGGATAGGTGAGGTAGGGTGCATTTTTCCCCAAGGCAAACTAGGTATCTGGGCACACTGAGGATGTAGTCCAGCATTTCTTGGGAACAGTTGGTCTGCTTTTTCTAACTACATCTTGAGAACAGAGTGAATGTTAAAAACCAGGAAGTGGGAGAAGAGGAAGCCATATCCTGCACATGGGGTGGGCTTTGGCAAAGATCTATAGACAAAGCCCAGTGGAACTTCTGCCCAAGATAACTCTTTGGAACTACCAGGATAAATGCCAGCAGAGTGGTGCCCAGTGTGTCCATCAGCTTCAAAGGGTAGGAGTGCCATCATCAGGTAGGAACCCAGCAGCTGGCCCCCAGACTAGTTCCCTCATGGTTGTGGCCACTGTATTGGAACAGCTTGTAGAGATGTTGCCAGTGGAATCTGCTTCCAGGAGACAGGCCGATCAGGCTGCACTGGGACCAACAAGCCAGGAACAGGCTGATTCTAGGGCATAGGGAATCGTGCTGGCCACTGTAGCTGGTGAGGGATGAACAGGTAAAGTGGTAGCCAAAGCTATGAGGGAGGCTGTCTACTAGGGTGTTTGCTATGAGGGGAACAATGGTATAATTCTGCAAACCAGAGAAGAGTAGGGGAAGAGATCCATTGGTGATCCAGATCTTGGGGTTTCTGGTGCCACTCTAGTCAGAGTAATTTCATATGGTAGCTGTTGTTGTTAGGTGTCATTGAGATGATTCTGACTCATAGTGACCCTACCTACAACAAAACGAAACACTGCTTGATCCTGCCCCATCCTCACAATCGTGGTTATGTTTGAGCCCATTGTTGCAGGCACTATGTCAATCCATCTCGTTGAGGGTCTTCCTCTTTTTCGCTGA